AAAGTTACAATATTTATGTTATTTTTATATATATTTTTGAAATTAATCTATCCTATTTTGACATTATGTCAATCTACGCTTACTTTATTTGTCCTTTCGTTAATTTCATATCTATTTATTTTATAACATAAATTTTAATTTCATTTGTATTTAGTTTTAAACATTATTTCGTATTTACACGCGTTAATTTTATATTTATTTTGTAATTTTATACTCACTTCAATCTCCTTATATTGAAATCGCTGGAGCCATGGACGAGCACGTTCCTCAGCTTCATCTTAATATTTCCTCCCGATGTGGCGAGTAATTCATTCAGCTCCAATGGCTCCAAACTGGGTATCCTGTATTCTGGTAATCCTGTCTTCAAGTACGGTTTGAAGTTGTTTATACTGTTCATGATGCACTCGCCCAGGTTTGGGTTATTCCGCTTGCAAATTTGAAGGAAACTGGCTGTAACGTGTTCTTAAATTATTATCGCTAAGAATTCATTGAACAAATTCAATTTTTCCATGCATATGCTTTTGTATAGTATTAAAAACTACGTTGGAGTGCAGGAACTTAAGAAAAGGTACCATTTTGGAAAATTAAATCACCGTTTCAATTGGTGCTACTCCAACTAATGGGATTAATTAAAACTAATCTTTTTGAATGAATACAATGGTAATCCTTATTGTATTTTTCACACGAAGAAAATTGACGAGAATGGTAGATGAATGAAAAAATGGCACTTCTATATCTAAATATTGTATATTGACTTTTCCATTCTGATGTGAATATTTGAGAACTTATAACATCATTTTATGCACCGAAGATTAAAGTTCAAGTGAATTTTCCATCAGCTTATGATGAATTGAAAATTCCTCTGTGAATGAATACGCGTATAGAACGACGAAGAGCGTGTCACTGTTGAACTATGATAAAAGAGATTGAAAGGGGATAAAGAATATAAAAAAATGTGGTTATTGGAAATGTTAACAATTCGTAAAATCATATTCAACAATGGCTAGTCGTTGTAGAATTTAGAAAATTTCTTTAAGAATTTTTTTAAATACTGTTACGATTGACTACAAATCTGAATAAATGTAGCAACTTTGAATTGCCATTCGTTGCATCATAAGCATTAATATTTAATTAGGCCTTCGTATAGTCCAAGTTTATATAAAATCCTCCGTACGTAGTCCTAATTATTCACATAACGTTGCATATGTAGAAGTTACTTTTTTTCTGAATTGCTAATTTGTTTCCTTAATTTTGAACAACATTTTTTTGTACACACTGTAGCCTCATACACTGAATATTACAATCGATCAGTAATGGATAACTTCCGCTCGATATTGTTGCAATAGGCATATCCTGTTACATATATTGTAACTAATTTAGGAGAGTTCACAGTCATTCTGATTAGATAAGTGATTAATACGTATCCATGGGCTCTAATGTTTTCTAAAAACTTTTAATTCAAATTTATAAAAATATATGTATAAACAAATTGTAAATAATACAATTTAAAAATTTAGAAAATTCTAAGTAGACTAATTTTGATATGATATGTATAAAATAATTCACCTACACACTCTACCCACCATGTTGCTAAGAAGAATATCTACACCACAAAATTCTATTGACAGACACGAGATATGAATAATGAAACACATATGAAATAAAAAATAAAAATGTATCGAAAAGTCCAAGATTATGGAATATCACTTACGCAACTCACGCGCAGAAGTAGCGCCAAAGATTGCCAGGATCATTCCAATCAGCGCGGTTTTCTTCATCTTGCCTCTTCAGAGATCTACTTTTCCAATGGAAAGGAAGCTTTTTGACTAGAAAAAAGGACTCCAACGACTGCAAGACTGTCTGATGAAGAAATGATCGCGACGAGGATCGAGTCGGGGTTGTTTCGACACCCACGAATCTTCGGATGGTCAGTATGGAAGTGAACAGAGTGGAGGTCAGCCCCAACTTCTTATAGTTGTACCTTTCTCCCCCTCTCTGACGAACAGTCTGTCTGCTCTGGAGCATCCAGATCAACGTGATGGAACACATAACGAATTCTAGGCATGTGATCGTGCACACGACGTGTATCGTGATATTTTCCATCGTCTGGACATTTATCTGACGCATACACGAGCACATTTGAAGCTTCGAATGAACAACTGATTAAAGTTCAGTGTGTAAAATCAACTCGAAGATAATTTGGTGTTATGTCATTAGATGTCTACTGAAGAATTCGAAGGTTGATTTAGAATCAGTACTGAATTTTCAACATTGCTTGTGAGATCATTATGAAGTGCATGCCTGCAATTAAATGCTAGCTCAAATTGCTCGTCGCTGTCTAACTTGAGCTTTTTAACAAAATTCAGTGCTTGGAAAATCGATTCGAAGATATCTCCGTTACGTACACCAGATCTCCTGTCTATCGGACAATTTAAGGGATGGTTCGAACAATTCAATCGTGTTTAATTTTAACAGAAGTGAGAAATCAGTATTGAATTTTGAATAATTCAGCTTTTGCGATCATTGTGAAGTGTATGTATGTAATTAAATTTACAACGTTTATCATTATTTAATTCAATTAATTAAAAACAGTTGTTCTTTTGCAAGATTACGGACTTTTTACAGTGTCGTCTTTCTATTAACACTTTCTATTTGTCTCTGAATATTCTATCAACTTCAATTTCCAACGAATTTCCTTGGTCCTTTCATCGACAAAGCGTTCACTTTCCTTCCAAATAAAATTATTACACCCCGGCAGAATGCTACAGGGTCATATTTCACGAGAAAACTACTTTAAGTTTGAAAAATTATTTACACGACTCGTTGTTCAAGTACACGATAAGGAGCGAGGTGAACAAGAGAAGGGATGAAATATTCCTCCCCAAGGAAAACTGCGCTATTATACGAGCAATACACACGAAACGGGTATCGAATTTTTTTCGCTTCCGGTCCGGCTCAAGGCAAATCTCTCCTCGTTTACCAGCTAATCGCTGAAACTCTGCAAAAACATATAAATAGTTCTCCGGTAATCGCAATTTTTGCTCCACTAATGATATCCCTTTCTGTTACTTTTTTTTTTATCACAATGAAATCATTTGCTCGTGAACGGAAGGAAAAACATGCAGAAGAAACGAATATCAGTCGCCAAAACGGGAAAACGAGTAGGTATCACACGTTACGATTTATCCTCGAAACAACTTTTTCAGGAGCTTCACGAGCTCGTTGCGTGTACACACTTTAAGAGGACAGTTTCGAGATAAAAATTTCGAGCAAGAAGCATAAGCAAGCGATTTACAGATGGAGAAAGAGCACCTTGACCCTGACCTTCGTCGACATCGTCGAATAACACAACACATAAGCCGGGCTTTTCGTTTCCTCGCGTTTTTTCTCGGAAAACCTGGCATAAACGAGTACGTACGTGGCTGGTGGAAAGACAATACGCTGTTGGAATATTAGATAGAAGACGTGTCTTCTTGTTCCTTCAAAGAGGCCGATGCTACGGAGCACGCTGCATCTGGACACCGCCATTTTGAGATCTCTTGATGGAATCGTGTTACTGAAAGAGAAAGACAGAAGGAAGTCATTGTAAGTATTATTACAATTACATCAATATTGATACTGGAAGAGAAAGATGGAAGGAAGTGTTGTTAGAATCATTTGAATATCGATAATATTGATTACAGAGAAAATGTTCAGGTCAGTGAAGAAATATTTTGGTATCCAAATATTGTTTCTTCGAGAATTTTGGGTTTCAACGTATTGTTTGGAATGGAATCTTATTTTTTCCATGTAAAATGATTTTCAGAGTGAAATTGTTTTCGTGTATTCTATACAGCAAGTCGTGTATGTCGGAACCTTACCTTTCCAGAAACTGGTTCGTGACAAATTCTTTTTGAAAGGTGAAAAGAATTTTTCTTTAAAAACAAGGCAGATTTGCATTACAGAAGCAGTTGTCATTGCAAGGAATAGTGTATCGAATTTGAATTTGAAGAAGTAGAATGGCAGAAGGAATGAAAACAAACAGAGAGAATTGTAAAAATGGAATTGAAGTTAAGTACTAACTTCCTAGTCTTTTTCCTGCTAAAATTCTTCAGGTATGATACTGCATTGTTATATAATGCGACTGCGTAATTTTTGGTATTAAACAGTCTGGCTTTAGAAAAAATTGTCATCAGAATTATAATAAATTATATTATTCGATCGAAGGATAGAGAAAAAAAAACAAAGAAACTCTCAGATTCTTTTAGGACTTATTAACCATAATTTGCAAAACTTTAATGAAATGTCTGGATCCTGATAAATGTGGAGGATAACATCGTGCTCCAATGAATTTCTTTCAAGTATACTATATTCCATTCACGAAATCCTGATGAAACGTGAAAAAAAGAAGCACATTTTATAATTTATGAAATCCTCTGATAATCAAACTATTCTACATAGATGTAAATTAGCGTGTTACGTATTCGTATCTTAAAGGATGTCGCCAAAATGTCACTGAAATTTTAAGATTCATGCGATAAAAATGATTTTCAACAAAATTTTCCATTACTTTTCACTTCTTTTCTCTCCTATTTTTCAATGATTTTCTGTAAATTGTATCATTGAAATATATAAATTGTACTTGATGGAAAATATTCTACAAGGAGAAGTATTCTTCTATTCTGCTTAAAAAGGATGAGATTTCTCACGAAGTTTACTTAACATTTTAATAAAATAAAATTTCCAGCTCGTCCAATTCTGATCGCTATAATTTCTGCTTTTTTTTTCTCCGTAGAAAAAAAGCACGGAAACGTGAATTTACTAAAATATTCCTATCTTTGGATGCAAAAGCGCGGATCAGATAAAACCACGACAGGAAATTCAAGAAATACCAGTACCTTTAGCCAGCATAAATTATTAACCACGTTTTTATAAAAATTCGCGAGAATATTATTAACATGTGTTTACAGCACGTCGTACATCTAACTCAATTTACAAATAGTCGTACCTTTGTGAAGAAAAATAAAGAAGAGAAACAGAATTCTTCTTGAGAAACGTGTTCTATTGGAGTCAGGATAATTGCCAGCAATTTTACAATAAACATTATTGCCAAGCAATTCTTGTACACGGATAAAAACTGCATTCTTCTTTCTTTTCGTATTTTCTTGTCAACAGAATTAACGTAATTTTATCTTTACGCATATAATACGATTAGCCTAACATACTGCTGTTCAGTATTGTTCGTTCAACCGTGTTTAGGGCCTCAGAGAGGCATTTCAAGTAATTGAAAATCGAGTCACGTTTCGTGTTTCACTTGTTTACACTTCTCTACTCGAGCAAAATCCGAGAAGTCTAATTTTTCTTGTGATCAATAGTGGAATAACAATCTAAAAGTAACAGGAGATTTCAACAAAATATCACACGGTTCTGTGACGTTCCAAGATATTTCAATATGCAAGACTTTTCCTGAAGGTTTCCAACATATTCATGTTAGAACAGTATTTTCTGTAAAATTGAAGTAAAAAGAAGTAGTTATGGAAAGCAGCTGAATTAAATTTGTTTTAGTTATTGCTCTAACTTCATACTGAAATTATTTGTACCGAAGAAAATCAATTTTCTTACATTTCAAAATGAATAAAAAGTCAATTAAAAATTGCCTAAGAAATGTAACGATCTTAAAGAAATACACTCAAAGATTGGAAAATGAATGAAAAGCAGGAATAACAAGACAGCCAACTCCCAAGAGTGATCACTCCATCGTGTACAAAGTTCATTTTGTGTGCACGATACAATAATAATTGGAGCAATCATCTTTACGATAGCCTCCGGAAGCTTCAGAATTTCAAACGTCCAGATGATTAATTATTCTCCTCGTCCCTTACATTTCGTGTTTTCCTCGAACTCTAGACCAAGAGTCACTCGTTCCACGAAATTGATAAATCACTGGACGACAAGTGTATTCAGATCTAACGGTGCGTTCGCAGATATTGCCGAATTTTCTATGTTAACTGCTGTAATAAACGTAATATTTATTTATCAAGTGGTATAGTAGAATTGTGGTACAGAAAATCACTGAATAAAGAAGCATTTGTCATTGTAAGAAGTAACGTGTTAAATTTGAATTTGAAAAAAAAATAGAATAGCAGGAGGAATGAAACGAAAAAGAAAAAAATAAAGAAAATGTGAATATTATTTGTGTAATTATTAATTGAATTATTGTCATACTACAATTTAATGTGCATGCTATTTTTTTCAAGGAGAAAGTTGCAACATTTTCTTTTTGTATGTTTTTCTAGCATTTGTTAGGAGTTGCTATTTTCTACTTTACTCAACGCTCATAAATAATGAACACATTTTTATAATAATTCGCAAGACATTTTCCTCCTTTGCATACTTATTTTAATGCGTGATCTTAATGCCTACTACTTCAGTCTACCTTTCTCATTTTGCAACATAGTACAATCAGAAAATTGTTATACTTCGTCTTAAGAATATTCGCAATTTTTGTAATCGAGGTACTCTTTAAATAAATCAAGTATTATGTGAAATTCGGTGTAATACCAAACTATCAATTTTTATTCGAATATTGAAGTATTCGCTTGATACGATAAATATATGAAAAATATAAAATATGGTATAAAAATAAGGCATAGTATAAACTGAACAGTGAAGACGAAGGAAACTGTAATTGTTCGGAACACAACGATTTAATAAAATTAAAATATCTGTAAAAATATGGAAAAACAACAACAGTTCTCTTCATTTTCATTCTTCAATTAGTCATAATAACGCGATCGATGAATACGTGAACGTACAACTTAGCATGATTGTTACAATTGGACAAGAATTAAGAAAATATTGCAAACCATCCATTCAACACACACGCATACACACGCACACGCCTGAAATGCTGCAACATTTCACATTCGGAACGCACAAACAAACAGGTAGAATGATATAAATAATACATGAAATCAAAATGCACATATCACGTTCAAGTAATTTTCTAAACTTGAACTAATTGCAACACAGTTTAAGAGATTAAAGAAAAAGAACTTAAGTAACATAAAAGTTAAGGTGCTTGAAAATTAATTTCCACCATTGCTCTTTCAGTTTTTCATTTGCAAAGATCCCTGGTAAAAATCAGGGGGCAATTGCTCATATTAAATCCTTTCTCTATTTTTCAACGAGAATTCAATATTTGGTTACCCTTTTTATCTTAAAAAGAATGATCGATCTCAGAATAGCGAGTCGTTCAGAACACCATCGATAGATAAGACGTCGTCTTGTTCGATTTATTCCGTGATCCATGCGTCGTATGGTACTTGAGCGAAGATCTTTTCGACAAAGGTCGTCATTACTTGGACTAATTTCCTCCTTAGATCCGGTTTCATCTCTTTCAGCAATTCCTGGCTGTTAGTATTTATGAACAGGTTCAGCGCAGCCACTAGAATTATTGGAAATACAGAGAAACCTAATTAAACATATGTAATAATGGACAATTAAAATCCTATAAAATTGTAATTTATATCGAATTAAAATCATATCAAATTAAAATCACATCAATTAAAATCTCATCAAATTACATTACTTATAATGGTACACGATATTATGTAAGCTCACGAATGTTTATCGATTAATAAGATTTTTGTCAAGTATTTGTCGAAATATATCGCACGATACTTGGCTGAAATATATTCTGAATGGAAAATTTAATTTTTTTTATACCTTTTTTTGCGAAAATTGGTATGTTTCAAGATGTACATTATTTAACTACTTACATTTGTTCTCAGTGAATGAAATTCTTCCTATTGGTAGAATGAAGTCTGTTTTTGTATTCAGTTAAGCTGAATGAATTTTCTAATTAAATTTTTAACGTAAGCTTTCACATTCTAAGATTTTATGTTCTTTGCTTATCATAGTAACGATAACTTACGAATTATAGCGTTGCTGTCGCGGACATTTTCGACGCCCATTCTGATATTTTGCACGCTGAAGTCCATTTTCAGTTGCTGCAACCTCAAGTAACGTCGGCCTTGAACCACGAACGGCTTCGCTCTGATGAAAACTTTCGCTTTGACACCCTCTTTAATAACGAAAAAAAATTTTTTTTTAATTTTATTCTTCCAGTTATTCCTTCATTTATTCAAAGATTCACACTGTACAGGAAATCAGTTCACGGAAAATTTTACTGCTTTCTAATAAAAGTTGCTAATTCGTATGCTCGGTAATTGTATTGTACAGTTGCATTCTGCAAGGCGAATGCATTAGAGGTCAATGGTACCATTCGCATGAAAATAGGCGCAGAGTCTTTCACGACTACTTGAGCCCCGTTATAAACGTACATCATGAAGTTTTGTACTTCTTTTTACATGCTAAAAACATTCAGCTTTGATCATATTGATTAAACAAATTTCTAACTATTTTTCGCTATTAGCAAAAGGGACAAATATACCTTTCTACTTATACCTATCTACTTATGCCTCGCACACTTCGAAGTGTCAATAAATAAATTTTAACGAAACAAGCTTTTAAAGATTTTATAAAATATTAGAAAAAATCGTGGCTTCTACGGTGAAAGAGATTTTGTTTATCACTAATTCAACACTGTACACATGCCCCAAAACATAAAAGTCAGT